AGCCTTCAGAATGCTGGGATGGGAGGTATGTGCCACCCTGCCCAATTTTTTCTAAATTTAGTGGGCACCTATTTTAATCTTTAGGATTTAGTAATCCTACGTTTTTTAAAAACTTGAGCAACGAGCTGGGGAGACAGCCCGGGAGTCTAAGCACCTCCTTGGCAAGTGCAATGTCCAAAGTTTTATCCCTGGTACCACATGCTGTGCTGGCCCAGGAACCCCCTGCATGCCATCCCAGCCCTGAAAGCAGGTGTGATGACACACACACGTGCAATCCCAGCACCACCACACCCGAGACAGGAGGATCACTCTGAGTCTGAGTTGCATAGCAAGACTCTGTATCAAAACAATTAATAAATAAACTAAAAATAAACAAAATAAAAACTTGTGCAAGCCAATGAAGTATTACTTCATTGCACTTACTGCTACTTTACACAAAGCCGAATCTACTTTGACCTAATTTATTCCATGTTTCCATCGATTCTAGGTTATAAAATATCATATATTTCTTCCTGCCAAACACAAAGAAACTGATTAATTTGTATGTCAACTTAGCTACAAAAGGTTTCACTTCTATTTGGGACTAGTAAGCCCTAGGTGCTGCCCAATTGAAACAGTAATTAAATAATTTAAACCCTAACTGCCATTCCTTTAATTGTAAATAAGTAGCTTTAGGAAACTAATGACTCTGGTACTGTGTCCTCTCAAAAAATGAGAATGGTTCTTTCTTGCTATTACCCTACAAAAGAAAGAAAGAAAGAAAATTGAAGGGATTTACCATTTCCAGCTTCTCTGCCTTAAGGCGAACAGAAGGATTTAGGGAAATCTTCTTTCCTTGTGGTCCATAATTATCAGTGCAGGCAGGAGCAATATCTAAGAGACAACAGGGCGCACATTAATTGGAGACTTAATTGGAATAGAACTTTTCATTTGACAGGATGTGCTTTGGACTCCTGCTGTTCAAAAGTAATTCTGGTTAATCAGTTGGCAGTTTTCACTTTAGTTTTCATGATTTTTTTTTTCTGTAGGCTTAATGTGTACCACATAAATCAGCTTTACTTGAGCTCTAAGAGATACACAAAAGGAGTATCCAATTATCTACTGCAAAGTCTCTTAGAAATAATAACGTGAGATAAATATACATCCCACCACTATACCACCATCATGATAATTTACTCCTCGTAAGATAAAAGGGTTTTTTGTTCAAAAGTGTAAGCGTCTATCAAAGATACAAAATGATCATGATATTTCCTTGGTGGAAGTGGTTTTGTTGCATGAATTTTGGAAGTGCTGTGGAAAAACTCATAAATGAAAATCATCTTAAATTTGTAGGCAAAGTATGCTATAGACATAGAACTCTTGGAGCCTAGATTCCCGTCTTATTTCATAGAAGGCTTATACCTTAAGTAACATACACAGACCCCCCTCTTGCCTATTTTCCTATGTTTTCAATATGCCCTGAATATATACATACACTCTTTGTCCTTGTTGTGGGAATAAGAAATCAGGTACCACCGGAGGCTAGAGCTTCAAAAACTATTTGTTTGAGTATGCCAAAGTTTGTGAAACAAATTTCTGTAATTTATGTCAATCCTTGCCATCTAAATTGTCACTATTCTAAATACACTCTTAAATGGTATTTTACTAGTTCTACATAGAAACAAGAGGAAGAGAAAAAACTTTTTAAAATGTCACATCTTTATGCAGTGTTTTAATTTTTTTATTTCTCAGAGCATCTGTCTCTAAGTACAAAATGATTTGCATTCTCTTTCTTAAGAACATAAGAAGCGCATATGAAAATAAATAGTCTTCCTCTAAACCTTTAACACATCCTCAACATTCTATGTAAAATCTTTAATATAGCTTATAGGTGTCAAGATTACAAAAAAAAAAAATGGTTACTGACTATTATCTCCAAATGGAATTAAACCCTGAGAAAGATTGGTTTTAGTGTAACTGAATCTTTTTTTTTTTAATATTTATTTATTTATTTATTGCGTGTGTGGGTGTGGGTGTGTGGGTGTGGCCAGCTCAGCCCACCAGGGGGCGGGGCTGGCTGGCATGTAGTGCTGGGGATTGAACCGCGGTCCCTGTGCTTTGCTAAGCTTGTACTAAGTAGGTGCTTTAGACCACTGAGCCATCTCACCAGCCCGTAACTGAATCTTTATAATTCTGATAAAAGCAAGAAAAGCTCTTGTTATCATGGCATCTAATTGTTGGCCATTGGATCAAAAAATATTTTTTCGCTTAAAATCAGTTCTACAGCAAATCCAAAGCATTGCACAGAAGACCACTGACATGGTATGGAAGACCAAACCATGGATTATTTTTCATCTTGCCAAACTTGACCTCTGCTTTGGACTTTACCCTGCAATTAATGGACATGAACACTAGGGGATGTCCTAGTTACGGCCTCCAAGACTAACTGGGAGTTTGAATTATTCAATCTGAGTGGAAGAGACGCAGAGAAGACTGGAGCAAGAGGCAAGGTGAAAGATGAGGAGAGGCAAGGACACACTAAGATAGCATCACTCTTTACTACATCAGAGTATCAAGTTTCTCTTTCTAATGGTAGAAATAACAAAACACTAGCTCCTATGTATGTTTATTTCCATCCATGCAATGGACTAATTACTGTACATAGATAAGCTCGTAAATCTTCATGATCACCACAGTGATATAAATGTTACTACTGCCATTCCCAAGACCAAGACCTGAAAAGGTTCAGAAATTGGCCCAGTCTCACATAGCCAGAACATGATGATGTAAGTATTCTAATCTCTTGGGATTTGACAAAACAACGTTCTCATGTGTCAGCATCTTTTATTATCATTTTCTCATATGTAAAGTAGAAAGAGTAAAACGTGCCACCCATAGGAGCTGTCGAGGTAAAAATCTATAAAATCATAAAAAATGCTATTAAAAACTTAAAGTATCATTAACATTCACACAGAGATGCTGTGTCACTATGGGATCTGCTATGGTTTGTGTCTAGCTTTCCCTCAAAGCCTCATGTAATCATGGGGCAGACTACTCTGTTGTGATTAACTCATGATCCACTGGGATTATGGCTGTGAGTGCTGCTGGGATTATGGGTGTGAATACTATACCCAGCCTGGGGCAGACAGCCTGAATGCAACTTAAGGCAGACATTGCTCTCTGCAGCCATCATTGCTGTTACTCCTCCCTTTGGCTCTCTGCTCTTTGCTGCTGTCGTGAAAGGTTACTCTCTGCCATGTGCCAGTCTGCCTTGGAGCCAGCTGAGTATGGATTGAAAGCTCCAGTAACTGAAAGCTAAATAAACATTCCCTTCCTTTATTTTGAGTGCCGGGTATTTGTCCCAGCAATGACAGAAGAGTAACTGAGACAGGATCTAATGTAAAACCATATCAACCTCCCATTTAACAGTATGCAGTTATGGCTTAACAAAATCTTATTCTTCTTTTTCCCTTCCTCCTTTGATCTGAATCTTTGTTTCTGAATTCAAACCGTATGAGGGTCTTGCATGAAACCATTAAGCCCTGGAAACTGACTGGAGCTTATCCTGAAGAGCACCTCGTAGAGACACTTGTTCATCTGCCAGGGGCCCCTCTGCCCCAAACTCCACCTCTTCATCTGCTCGTGTGACTAATTCCATCAACCCTTGGAGGATATTTTTCCGCATCAACACTCAGTTTCCGAAGACTTCATGCAGAAGAATTCAGGCTTGTGCTATGGGTTCAGTGAATGACTGCATTTCTTATTCCCCTGGGAAGGTGCTCATCATATGTTTAGCTCACAAACTCATGTGTGACTCAACTGTCAGCAATAGTAAACAACTCTGAATTTTTTTTTTTTTTTTTTGCGGAACCGGGGATTGAACTCAGGCCCTTGCGCTTGCCAGGGAAGCGCTTATTCTACTGAGCCATCTCCCTGGCCCCAACAACTCTGAATTTTGAAATAAACTTGTATACTAGGGTAGTTTTTGAAATATTCAGGTGTAATGCTTATTTTAAAATTCTACCAATTTATCCTTTGGAATAATTTTCAGATGGGAACAGAGGTGGAAAGAGTACCTCTTGAATTTTTGTTGAAGTGAACATTAAGAGTTGTTTATAATTTTTGAATACATACCCATTAACCAACAATCTAGAAATAATGGTAAAGGATCCAATTTGGGAACAAACTGTACTTAAGAAATTATAGCATAAAAACCACAAAATGTATGCAAGTTACTTACAGATAATTTAGGGCTCAGTTTGCTTTTCCCTGCCCCTCTGCCTACCCAGAAATACCTCAATCACTACATTTATGTGGAAGCCAGAAATTGAGACTGAGTTAATACTATTTCTGTCCTAGAAAAATGTTTCATTTTAATTTGTGTTTATACAACATACACACTCACACATATCTTGCATTAGTTGTTTTCCTGTTACAAAATCTAGTGTGACCTCTTACAGGGACTAGCGTAAAACTCCTTCACTTAACTGATGACAAGCGCTCTCTTTCTCTAACCAGACCTGCCTCTTACGGTCATCTGCCACCTGTGTCGTCACCCTACTTCTGTGTTTCTGCTGGTGGGACTTCCTGACTGCAGGGTAAGCTGTCTGCAGGTCACTTCCTTAAAGATTTGGGGTGTGTTACCAAGAGATTTTTTTTTTTTTTTTGGTATTGGGGATTGAATTTAGGGTTTCCACACTGAGCTACCTCTTCAGTCTTTTTTCCTTATTTTTCATTTTGAGGCAAAGCCTTGCTAATTTGCCATACTTCCAGGCTAAGGAGTTGCAATCCTCCTGGCTCAGATACCCAGAGTGCTGGGATTATCGGTATATACCACCAGGCCCAGCTGCCAAGAGATTTTCTAAATTGATTTGTGTACTATGAATATACCAAAATTTTAAAGGTTCTGTATTTCTGGGCTATTGCTTTAATCTCTTCAACCATTCTTTTCATGTTAGCGTGAACATCTAGTCTGGTCTTACTATGTGCTAATTTAGGGGAGCAAGAGAGGCCCCATCATTCAATCAAATGTTAGAGGGTTCACTTCTACTCTAGAAATACACTCCAAAATCTTCTCTCAGCTTTAAACACTAGCTTACGGTTCTACGATATTAACAACAACATTTTCTTAGTGCACACTGTGTACCAATTACAATGGCGAGTACTTGGCACGCACAAGCTTACTGCATCCTTACAACCCCAACCCCAAGCAGCAGCCACTTCAAGGTGACAGAACTGGCAGGCTGGGGCCACATTTGAATGTGTGAATTGCATTCCGAACCTGGGGGCAGCCCCTGCATGCTCCTGTCACAGGATTAGACTGCTATTTCTCCCCTTAGCCCAACTGGTTAATGTCTTTAAATCATTCATGTAGAAGTGCTACACAATCAATATACACACACACACACATATAAACAAATACACATTTTGTTTTTCTAACTTGAATAATAAAACACTTTAAACTATGATTGATTTCATAATATGGTATAAGTATCCCGTAGAAAAATCCCATTGTCTTTGTAATTCCTACAATAGTAAATCTTCTACATATGACATATGTAGCAAACACTGAATAAATAGCTACAAGAGGCACTGTGTAGTTGAATTACTTTAAAAACTAAAAACATTACATCATGCCATATAACTAATGATTTATGATGAAATGCAGTGATAGCGGCCTGGACTTCCGTCACCCGCAACTTTCACCCACATCTCCTCCAACTATTGGCTTTATTTACCTTTTCCTTCCCACATGGGTTCCTGGTTTAAAGTGAAACAGTGTTATCAAGAAACTGAGTGTTGGGACCAGGGAGATAGCTCAGTAGAATATGCGCCTGCCTAGCAAGTACGAGGGCCTGAGTTCAATCCCTGGTTCCACAAAAAAAAAAGAAGAAGAAGAAGAAACTGAGTTAATTATTAATTACATACAGACTATCAACAAGGTTCCCAAGAATCAATAAATCTCACTAGATTAAAAGTCATATCATTTTGGCTAAACAGTACTACTGACTCATTGGTAAATAATGTCCCAAATCAGAGGAAACTACCATGGAATCCAGCATAAATTCTTGTAAAGTTGGATAAATTGGGGAAGGGGGGTGCTGGAGATTGAATCCAAGCCCTGACTCACATGCTCTACCGCTGGATATACCTCTAGCCCATGCCTGGCAGCTATTTAGTTTAAAGTAACTCTCTTTATTTTGAAAGTATCATCCAGATAATGCTATGAAACATTAAAATATAAGGCTGGCAACTGGAACTATAATTTAGTAATATGTAACTAGCATTTTGTTTATGCTAAATAGTTTTCTTTTTAACTGTTGTTCTGATAAACCTCTGGAAATAATTTCAGGGAAGAGATGTTTTTCTTGGTATCTGACCCAATAAGCACTTTATATTTTGATAATAATCCTCTTTTATGGGCAGTTTGACAAGGTTTGCTGTATTGTTTTAAAAAGTCAATAAATCCTTTCATAGTAAATAAAAACCAGTAATACTGAATCCACAGTATTGATGTTTTTACTAACTTAGGATTTCTTCCAAAATAAATAAAACAATTCTTTTTTTAAGCTGTGCGCCCTCCTATAATGTGTGTTTTGCAAGGTACAGTTAATATTCCCCATCACTATGTCATTAGCAGGTCAAGGTAACCTAATCTAGATTCACAGGTGTTTTCATTACTTGGTCTCAATAGTTCATGAACTATGACAACTTCAGAGACACAATGATGCTCCTTTTAAAATTTCAACCCTTTGTTCACGGAAATTTCCAGTGAAAGTCATAATCTAACAGGGACCACTGGATAATACATTCATTTTGAGCTTTTATCCATGGAAGGAAAAAAGGCATAATGCAACTATTATGTTCTCTTCATTGAGAGAGAGTAATTGAAAAAATAACAAGAAAGACGAATTAACTATGTATTTGCCTGAATTAGCTGCATCCGTAGCACTGTTGTCTGCAGAAGTAATTGGAATAGATTCTGTTTTCTCATATCCAGTTTTTATCTGTGAAAGAAAATGAAGAACATAAAATGTCATTTTCTAAAGTAGGTCAAAGACGAGACTAGATGTTCACACTAGCATAAAAAGAATGGTTAAAGAGATTAAAGCAGTAGCCCAGAAATACAGAACCTCTAAAATGTTGGTATATTCATCTTCAAACAAAGCGTTCCAGAGACGAAGGTAAGAACCTACTTTCAGTGGAGCTGAAGGCCATGTACCTTGTCTTTTTAAAGACATTAGAAATCCAGATGACAAGGTACAAGGAGCTGACAGAAAATCTTCTACCCTCTCTGATCATCATGGACCTGAAAGCAGTTACCTTTAAAGAATGTACTCCACTGCCCAAAGGCATACTTGAGTTTTCTGTATTATCTTACAGCTAACACAGACTTAAAGAACACATATGCTAGGGCTGGGGAGATAGCTCAGTGGTCTAGGCACCTGCCTGGCAAGCACAAGGACCAAGGTTCAATTCCCAGTACTGCATGCTGTGCCGACCTCAAAATTGGTAGTGCAGGCCTGTAACCCCAGCACTGGGGAGGCTGAGACAGGAGGATCACTATGAGTCTGAGCTGCATAGCAAAATCCTGTACCAAATAAATAAGTTAATGAAAGTTATAAAAAAAGAAAAAAAAAGAACATATATTCTATTTTATAACTCTTATATTTTAGGACAATATAGCTTTTATAATTGGTTGTATTATTTGGATATTAAAAATCCCCACTTTTTATTATCCTAATAGAGAAAACTGTTTAGTTGTGTCCATACATGAAATCAATACCCACCTAGATTGGGTGATTAGAATTAGCTACTCTGAGTAGCAAACAAGCTGGGGGTGGGGGAATGGGAACAGTTGCCTGGCATCTATCAAGCAGAAATAAAAATGGTGATTAACTGGCCCACATTAGAGACTAAGTGAAACTAAATACTATGCTGTTGTTTTTATTTTCATTTTTGGCTGGCTCAGACGTAGCATGTGGCACCGGAGATCGAACTGTGGTCCCTGCGCTTGCCTAAGCTGGCACTTTAGACCGGTGAGCTATCTTTCTGGCCCTAAATACTATGTTCTTATAGTTCTGAGTGATGTCTAGCTGTTCCCTTATGGTAGCACTTTGTCACAATGACACTGTCTAACTGATTATGCTTCTGGACGTAGGACACTTTGATTTGAAAAAAATTGTTTATTGAGAATGCAGAAAGTCTAAACCAGAAAAAAAAAAAAAAACAACTAACCTTTCAAGAAGATATTAACCTGCTTAAAAAAGGTATTCCCAAAATTATAATTCTGCGTTGATTCACTAACGGAGAGAGAGAGAGAGAGAGGGAGAGAGAGAGAGAAAGAGAAACATAAGGGATTTATGGATTGAATCTATAAGCAGAGAAACTGAAGACTACCTGAGTCATCTTAGAGGAAGGTAAGATGGCATCTGGAGTTCTGGGAGTAGATGAAGTCTGTGGAATCAGTATTTCCAGGGGAGAAGAAGGAAGATTACACGTTGATGGCTGAGGTCCACGCTCTCCTGAAGCTTGTAACAAGGACGGAGAGGACAGACTTTCTGGATAGCTGCCATGAGATCTTTGCTTTATGAATGCTATCTCCCAGGTAGATTCAGACCTAGCATTAACAAGAAATCACTTTATTGATATGTAGTAGATAGGATCCAACTGAATCCTAAACTCATGTTTTGAATATTAATAAAAAATATTTCATTCAGGATCTAAAGAGCTGAAGGCATTTTCAATGACTTTTTTTTTTTTTTAAATTTTATTCATTTATGTGTGTGTGTGCGCGTGAGAGTGTGGCCAGCTCAGCCCACCAGGGGGCGGGGCTGGCTGGCATGTGGTGCTGGGGGATTGAACCGCGATCTCTGTGCTTTCCTAAGCTTGTTCCACATAGGTGATTTAGACCACTGAGCCATCTCACCAGCCCCCTTTTGCGGTACCAGGGATTGAACTCAGGACCCTGCACTTGCCAGGCAAGCACTTATTCTGCTGAGCTATCTCCCCGGCCCTGCAATGACTTTTTAATGGGACATGCTGAATGACTCCTGCTATCTTAGGTATACAGCCATTACCTCCACTTGGCTCTGGTAATTATGCTGTTAGCTTCTTCCAGGGACACACCGATCATAGATTCCTTGTTTACTGAGACAAGCTGATCTCCTGGCTTCAAACGTCCATCCTAACAAAAAACCGTTAGAAGTAACATTCATAAAGAAATTAGTGAAATGATTTTTTTAATTGCTTGCATGCAATTTGAAGCAAAACCATTTAGGGGAGGAAGGTCTTCAAAGGGGAAAAAGAAAAACTTCAAGAATCTCAATAGCAAAATGCCTTGACCAAAACCTATTTTGGTAATATACATAAATAACATAACTTGGCTCACAGAGACGAACAAACTTGCAGGTGAAGAAATCTTGATTGTATCAGGAATCAGGCCTTACAGCAGGAATGGAGACCTGTTTCAAAAGTTCAGCTCTATCAAAATGGAAAAGCTTTGACTTTGATAAACAAGCCAAACACTCATGAGACATTGCACGATGAGTTGTTTAGTGCAACTTCTGAGAATTCACGCGTCTTTTCTCCTGCCAAACAGTTCAATGTGGGTTTGTTGAATAAATGGACTAGATTTTGAGAAGTTTAGTAAAGGGCTTTAACTGCATCGATCCTACCCATGATCAAACACTCTGTTTATTAGATCTATTGTCTCCAGTGAGGAGGCCTAGTTTTGCATCTAGAGTATTTACAACACCTTCCTAAAAACAACCAATGTCAACTGGCTGCCTGCCATTATCTTTGTGAATTCCTGGCTCTGCTCATAAGGAGCCTGATAAGCATAGGACAGAATGTATCAACTACAGCAGTTAATGTGGTTATTAGGCAAGAATCTTGGGCTGGTGAGATGGCTCAGTGGTCTAAAGCACCTACTTAGAACAAGCTTAGCAAAGCACAGGGACCACGGTTCAATCCCCCAGCACCACATGCCAGCCAGCCCCGCCCCCTGGTGGGCTGAGCTGGCCACACACACACACACACACACAGAAATAAATAAAAGTTTTTAAAAAATTTAAAAAAAAAAAGAATCTCAGTCACTTTTTTTTCTTCAAACTTATGAAACTCTTTTCCTAAGATATATCTCTATGTATCAACAGCAAAAAGATAGAAAGTATTGTTTCCACAAGCATGGACAAATCTTGTGTGGTGTTACGATAGAAGAGTGTTTCCCACAGACCCATGTATTGTAAGCCTGGCACCCAACTTGGCACTGTGAGGAAAAAGAAACTCTGCAATAGGGCCTCATGGGAAGTTATGGGGCCAAGGCGGGAAACCCTTGGAGGAGACTATGAGACCCTACTCTCTGTCTCTCTCACTGCTGTTCCACAAAGGGATGGCATTTGCCCTGCCATGTGTCCCACAAGGATGTGCCACCTATGCCCAAAGCAGCAGGCCACATGACCATGCACTGCAGTCTCCAAAACTGCAAGACCAGATAAATCCTCTCTTCATAAGCTGATACTTCAGGTATTTGTTAGAGTGACAGAAGGCTGATTAATACATAAGGCTAAAAAGCTCGATCTTTCACTCTGATGCAACTGAGATACCTTCCACAATTCAAGGAAACATTTTACTTCAAAGTCTTATTCTGCTAAAATATAGCCCTACAATAATCCAGCTTTGACCTGAACTGTATTACTTATAAAATGGTGACTTATGGCAAGTTCATTCCTAAATAATTTTTTAAAATAATAAGAGGATGAATGCCAGTATATGGTATTATCTCTTCTAATGACTGAGGAATACAGTGGAAAGCTGACTAAATATGAACCATTCATCAAAAGATCTTTAGGAGCACATTATTTCAAATACTGTATAAAAGATTTACAGTCTAAATGCATAATGACCCTTTAATCTTTCTGCAATAAAACACTTAGAAAACTTGAACCAGCTCAGTGTGGTGGTGCCTCCCAATGACTCCAGCCCTTGGGAGGCAGAGGCAGGAGGATCACCTTGAGTTTGAGACCACCCTGGGTTATATGATGAGTTCAAGCCTTAACTACATAGTAAGATCCTACCTAAAGTCAGACAAACAAAAATTTAAACCAAAAAAAAAAAAAGGTAATTTGACTTTAAGGTGAATAAAATCTGAAAATTAAGTTGTATTTTTGGTAAATACATGACTAATGAGTGACTAAGTATAACTCACATGGGCAGACAATAAATATAACATGCAATAGCCACAGTCCTAAGTCACTGATTTCCTTATATCTGGCAAATATATGGGGAAAATATACAATAATAATGCTTTTTAAAAAACTAAGTAAGGGCCAGGGAGATGGCTCAGTGGAATAAGTGCTTCCCTGGCAAGGTCAAGGGCCTGAGTTCAATTCCTTGTTCCAAAAAAAAAAAAAAAAACCTAAGTAAAAGGAGAAAGTATCTAATGTGGATCTTTCATATTCAACAAAACAGAAAGGCTCTTTTTAATATACATTTAGCACAGGGTCTACAGGATCTCACTACACAGATCAGACTCATAGTGATTCTCCTGTTTCCAGCCTCCTAAGCGCTGGGATTACAGGTGCAGGCCACCATGCTGAGTCTCAACTGCTGTCTCAGTGCATCTGGGGGCAGAGCCGGCACAGCTGGCCCAGGGATTGAACCCCAGCCACTGCACTCTGCCTAAGCAGGCGCTTTATTCCGCTGAGCTATCTGGCTGGCCCAAGGCTTATTTTCTAACATTTTATAATCACACTTTTTCACTGGCTGGGATCAACTCTTTTTAGTCATTCATTAGTCATTTAAACCACATACACTGAGAGGGTTATGTCCATTCACCTGGAATTTAATGCTTTACATTTTAGTTTAAGGATATTCATTCATGGAAGATTAGGATGAAATGCTAATAAGAACCAGGGAGAAATAAATTCTTTGGGGATGAGAGGGCAAATGTGATTGGTTAGGGAAGGCACACAGACTGTCTCAATAATAGTTCGCTCTTTTATTCCTCATTGAGGCTGTCCACATGGGTTCACGGCTATCCATTTTATTATGTGTCAGAAGTTGTTAAATTCAGTTCTAAATCAAGGGAATCTGAAAAAGTTCCTGTTTAGAATCCTATTAATAAGGGGCTGGAGGGAAGGCTCAGTGGTCTAAAGCACCTACTTAGAACAAGCTTAGCAAAGCACAAGGACCGCAGTTCAATCCCCCAGCACCACATGCCAGCCAGCCCCGCCCCCTGGTGGGCTGAGCTGGCCACACACACACACACACACACACACACACACACAAATAAATAAACTTAAAAAAAAAAAGAATCCTATTAATAAAATAGGATTTGGGGCTGGTAGGATAGCTCAGAGGTCTAAGCACCTGCCTGGCAAGTACAAGGACCCGAAATCGATCCCCATTACCTCATGCCATGCTGGCCCCAGAACCCCAGGCATGCCGTATTGGCTCAGAAACCGGGTGTGGTGGTACGTGCCCGCAATAACACTAGGGTAGCTGGGACAGGAGGATCACTGTGAGTCTAAACTGTATAGTGAGACCCTGTACCAAATAAATAAAGTTATTGAAATAGGTTTTAAATGAAATTTAATGGTACTTTTGTATCCCAAAGCCTGACAAAAATTGGGAGGAGAAAAAAATTTCTATGTCACTCCATCAAAGCATTTAAAAGACACTGACAGGCAAAAGTTTTTTTTGGAATTATGGTAGAAGACAATAATAATTAGATTTTTTAAATGCAAATATTCTCAGTATTAATAATTATTTTCTTTCATTAACTTTACTTGGAAAAAGAGAATGTGACAATGACCTTACCTTGGTGGCAACTCTCTCTCACTTGGGTGAAAGCCTTTCAGGGCAATGGACTAAAGCAGAAAGAGCCCAGGGTCTGACAATCGGAGACGCCTGCATGTGAACCTGTGCTCCGCAAAGCCATAGCTAGGTCTTCATCAGCAATGAGGAGGAGGAGGAGGGAGGTGCTCGTGTCGCGCACTTGTGTGCTGTGGGCTCAGACTAAATTGTAGTTCTATGGCAAGCCTGACTTTCTGGACAGATCTTATAGAAATCCCTGTTAGCTGTCTGGCTTGCAGAGAAAAGGCTAAGAAAAGACAAAAGAAGGTTTAGACTGCCGTACTGACTCCAGCATCACCCTCCCAGGCCGTCCAGTGTCCGCTGGGACAGGAAGAGTCTTCAGGAAGACCACTTGGCCCATCTTGCATTAAAAAGGACTCTAAGGTAACGAAGCCGCACTTTCCGCCAGAATGAGAGAGAAGAGAAGAAGAATGCATTGTGACTGTGGTTTCCCGTGTTTATGTGCTTTTCTCCTTTTTAAAAAGTATCTATGGCAGTTAGTTTGTTGCCCCTCCCCTCTTGCCTCCCAGAATAAGCTCTTAGCTAATCATGTGAATTTCTGAACTTGTTGAGAAGTCAGAACCTGCAAATGAAAACAAAGCTATTTCGGGAAAAGTCTGGCATTCTAAAGGAGTGAATTCTTCCCCAGCTGGATAAACGTATATGTGAAGATACTGAACGTGGGGGTGTGCCGTGGCCCCTCCAACAGTCTGGGGTGCCGCCAGCAGTGCCCGAGCAACAGCAGAGAGCCAGGGCTGTGTGTCAGCTCTTTCACACTGACGTTCATCGAGACGTTGCAATAACAATGTACTCCCAGCCACTTACTCCTAAGTACTTCTGCGGAGCAGCTACCGGCACTGTTCATCTCCAATTATAAGGGGATTGCATAGTCATAAAATAACATACTGTCATGCCATCAGAAACCATCTATGCAGCCAGATTGTGCTTTAGCAAACTCATGATTCCTAAGAGGAATGCTCCTCTACGAGCCCGTGGATTCCTGTCTGATACTTCACCAACTGTAGGCTGAAGGTGTTCTTTTAACTCCATTCATTAATATTAATTGAGCAATTAGTGTGTGCTATACACCACACTAAGGAAATTATGTGACGAAAATCAGACGGAATCGTTGCCCTTAGGAATCTCACTCTTGTATTCTGCACAAGTATGCATGTTAAAAATAAGCAGAGATGTATGTATCATTACAAACTGAGAGAGTTTTGGAATAGAATATAAAGGACCTTGGAATACACATAGGAAAAATAAAGCCAGGTCTTACTAGGAGCAAACAAGAAACACAGCCCTCAGGAAGGAGCCACCGATTGCTCTCTGGAAGAAAAGGAAAAGGGAAGAGGCTGCTGTTCCCAGCCTAATGGAAGAGTGTGTGAGGGTACAGAGTAAATTGGCCCGTTTTAGCAAGTGAAAAAAGGGTCATTTGGAGGTGTTAGTTTAATGGCAAAGAGGCAGCTTGGTAATCCTCAGAATATGACCGAATGATCAAGGGATTATTTATTCATTAATACTGCGCAGTCGGCAAGTGTCCTGCATCACCCTGAGGAAATGCAGGATGAGAGCCGCCAAGAGAGGGCACAGGCAGCACCGCCAGAGCCCTGAGGAGCGAAGCAGGCACTGTGCTGTCCAGCAGCAGAGCCACCGCGAGGCTGAAGGCATGGGATGCTCGCTTCAGCTGTGGTGGGCAGAGTGGAAATCGAAAGGACCAGCGGGCTAAAAAGACACTCAAGAGCCAACAGTATGGACCAATGAACCGGAAGCAGTTGTTATGGGAAAGGAAGTAGGAAGGAACACAGACTGAGAACAGACAACACAGATTGAGAAGAGATGACGAGAGGAGGACGGGAGGTGAAAATCACAGGATCTGGCTAGCAGTGTAACAAGTTCCTTTTAAGAAATCCTGGTCCATTGGCCATTGTGGTGCATGCCTGTTAGCCTAGCCCTCAGGAGGCTGAGGTAGGACAACTGCCATGAACTTGAGGACAGCCTGAGCTACACAGCAAGACACTGTCAAAAAACAAAACAAAAAACAGAAAACTGGGCGTGGTGGCATTCACCTGTGATCCGTGTTTGGGAGGCTCAAAACGGAAGAATCACGAGTCCAATCTGTGTAGTGAAACCCTGTCGACCCTGTGCTAAATACATTTTTAAAAAAGATTAAGACTGAATACTGAGGACTCCAGACGGACAGGAAAAGCTGGTGGGATTAAATGAGCCTTGGCGTTCTATTTCTTTAACTCGCTATCCGGTATATTTGCTATCACTTGATAGGCTGCCTCTAGCTCTAAGAATTATAAGAAAATTTTTCCTATTTCAATTGGGAAACTGTGCATGGATTCTAAATATTTTTTTTTCAAAGAAATACAATGTTTTGGTTCTACTGAACCAATACTGTATTCTCATATTTGCTAGGAGAAAGAGATCTGTGCGGTGTATGGCTAACCATGTGTATCTTTTATGAATATATGCACTAAGTAGAAATTTTCTACAGATTAAAGATCTACCAATCTGTCAACCTGGGTAAGATAGTATTTAAGACAAAATAAATGCATTGTTATTGTTTTAAAATAAAATCACATCCACTTTGTGTTTGCAAGTAAAATATGCATGTATCTTTCCATATTGAGTAAATATTAAAAAATAAATATAAGCACTGGGAAATTATTCTTCTATAGCTTTCTCTGTTTTGCTTTTCTTCTACTGGTTCTCACTAGACCATTAATAACTCTGTGCTGCTCTCTAGTGGTCAGTAGAGATATCCTGCATTAGAACGTTTTACACTCACTCAATGAACATCTAAAACAGTCAACAACACAGCGTGTTTCATGACTATAATTTCCTAGTTTGAAATTATTGGATGCAAAAAGAGTCATTCAGCATGACGGCCATCAATTTATTACTCTGAGCTGAAAATGTTTTTCACAGAAAGAAAAGAAACACAAATTGATGTTTATCTTAAAAGCAAATTCTTACTACTCACAGGCACCTTGATCAATTATTGCACTATATCACATATAATCTAATAAATACCTTGGCTACACTCAATACCTACTCGTGTTCCACGCCTCTCTCAGCTTCAAAACTACACTAATACTGAGCATCTTAAATCCTTAAAGGAAGGTATTCATTTTTTGTTTGTTTGAATTTGTTTAATTATAATATTCGAATATGTTTTTATTTGGTTAGTAGTTTGTCAAAAAGTTACACCATTAAAAAAAAAAAGTTAGACCATTGTATCTTAAACTTATTGTATAATACAGAGAAATTTAAAAACATATTTCAAAGATGCTTCATCATCTTAACAAGTCTGAAACCAATAAAATCATTGTAAATGCTTTGAAAGTTTTCAGTGAAAATTGCTTTAGGAGGGAAAAAGATATCCAGTTTTAAAGATAAACTGTTTGCTAAGTCAGTGCATACAGTGAACAGAAGAATAAGGGTAGGGCTATTTATTTAAACAAAACCAAAACAACAATGCCCAGAACAAGCACAAATGAATTATTTTTTGTGCCATGTAGCTTGATCATAATAGAATACTGCATTAAATTCTTGTATCTTTCCTCTCCTCAAAAATGGAGGCAGATTTTGACAAACCATAATTATATCAGTAAAAGAAAAATAACAAATGAAATCCAAAGGAAGTGATAAGGCAAATACAGCAACAGTTTGTTAAGCTGCCAAAGTCTTGCTTCAAGTGTGGATGTGTCTTAGTAACCACAGCACAAGGAGCTGATGATACTGCGTATTCTTTTATCGAAGAGGAAGGTAAGTCTCTCTCATTACAAAAACCAGAAAAAAATAGGAGAGAAGGAGAGAGAAGGAGAGAGAGGGGGAAGGAGGAAAGAAAAAGAAAGAAGAAAGAAAGAAGAAAGGGCTTTTTTTTTCTTTTAATTTTAAAGCTAATGTTTGATGTGGGCAGCTAATGATTGAAATAATTAACTAATTCATTAAGAATGAGTATAGGGCAGGCCAGATAGCTCAGCAGACTAAAGCGCCTGCTTCGGCAGAGCATACTGCCCAGGGTTCCATTCCTGGCATGTTATGCCAGCCCCAACCCTAGGGGCGTACTGAGAGGAGCGACTGAGACTGGGCAGGGTGGCCCGCCTGTAATCCCTGCACTTGGGAGGCTGAAAACAGGAGGATCACAAGGAGTCCGATTTGTGGAGTGAGACCATGTAGACCCGATACTAAATACATTTTTTAAAAAAAGAATAAGTGTAAATTCAGAAGTGAGTAGGGTTGTGGGTTTTTTTTTGTTGTTGTTGTTGTTTATTTAGTTGCTTTAAAATGCATTCAGAAGAAGCTAAATGAGTGTAATTTAATCTATCCAATGTAATCCAAATACACAGTGGTAAAAGATAATATCTTTTCAAACATAATTTCTCCCAACTCAGAATACAAGATGAACAGTGTATCACTAAATATGTACGTCTGACATGTGTGCTAACTTCATTCTATAAAGAACCCATTTATCAGGACGAAGCTCCTTAACAGTAAAAAATACTGAAAGTAAGCCTCACCATCGGTAAGTTAAAGAAAAAAAAAAGGGGGGGGGGAATGACAGTGGCATTTGTCTTTCTATTTTTACCTTATAACAGTCTCCTCCAGGAATGACTTCCTGAATATATACCAATGGCCCTTCATTCCGGTTAATGCCTCCCAGGATCTTCAGACCGAGGCCTGTTTCTCTGGCAAATGTAACCATCTGAAAGGCAGGATCCCTGAGATAAAGCAAGTCAGCAGTGAGGATTAGGCAAGAGATCCGTGCCTGGACTTTGCTTTAGACTATTTGTTAAATCAAATTCTTAGCCAGACAACCCAAAGTACTTTAAACATACAAGACTAAAAGGTATGGTAATAGAAAATTAAGTACATGAATTTTCTTTCCTATATTTTTAATTGTCTTGAAAAAAACCATAAAAGAACTTATAACATGAAGGCTTAATAGGTCTTGGGCAGAGCCAAGAAAAAATATGCTAAAAATATTATTTAAGTACATTAAAAGATTTATTAAAAGCAATAGAAGAGACTCATCTTTAGTTGGTTATCAGAATCACTGAATGACAACAAAACTAAATATTTTAATAAATTAGGCAAGGAATTTTGGTATATTTGTAGACATTAAAACAAAATAAATTAAATATTCTCTCAATTTGACTCTCAAAAAAGTTCTTTTTAACTTAGAGGTTTGCTATTAAAAGCTGTTGTGTTGTGTGCTTAACTTTACCCATTATAAGACAATTATAAGTTAAAATTATGCAGAGATACTGTTGTTCATTTACCTTATCAATAAAATTTAAAACCTGGACAATATAGTCTGATCAAAAAGCTGCAGGAAAAAGAAGTACTTTTATATTCCCTGACCGTAGTTTATAGTTTATATTCCCAATCATAGTGGGGATCTAAGATGGTACAACCTCTAAAGAAAAAATACGATTATCTCTAATAAAACAATTCGTCTCTCCTCTGATTCAGCAACCCAATTTGTAGGAATCTATCTCAAATAAAGCAAAATTATTCATATGCGAGGTTATTCATTTTGGCAGAATTTGCATTCAGCAAAAATTGCAAATAGTCCAAATGCCCATCAAGTAGTTGCTGGCTGAATAAACTATGGGACGTCCTCACAGGGGAGAAGACTATTAAACTTTAACAAGCAGCAAAGAAGATTTTCGTAAACTAATATGAAGTGATCTCCAAGATGTAATTATAAATTAAGATAGAAGAGCTAGATCGAAAAAAGATACTATAATATCTATTTTACCTAAGAATATTCTAGAGAGCAGACTCTAATACATATATAATTGTGTAGGAGGTGTGAGAGAAAAATACAATGTGCATTTAAATCAGAGAAATTTTACTACAGCGAGATACTTATCACCATTAATCCCCCTTAAGATACTCCCCCTTCCATTCAAACACACTTAAGTCTCGTTTCTGCCACTTTCTGAGGCAGCCCTGCAAGTCCCTTTCCTGAGTGGCTCCTGTTGCAGTTCTACAGCTGCCTTAATGACCAGAATCCACTCAAAACAGCGACCTTTCATGTTCATTTTGACTCTGGGGAAGAGCCAGAAGTCACCTGGTGCCAAATCTAGGATATAAGGTGAGCGAGGCACGCTGGAATGTTTCTACAAGCCTCTCTTTCCACTGAGTGGCACGTGGCAGCAGCGTTCACTGTACTTTCATCGCACTTTGTACAGATACTTATGAAAGAGGACTTCCAGAACTGCCTCAGAAAACGGCAAGAACGATGAGACAAGTACGCTAGAGGTAAGGGGGAGTGTTTTGAAAATTAATGGCAACATGACTTTTACTATAATAAATGCTTAAAATTTAGAATTTATTCACCCTATTTTGACTACTGTTTATGTAAGTATTACATAAGTCTATTTACATGTGTTTGTTTAGGCAAAAAGACACATTCCAAAAGAAGCAAAAACAGACATGTTTTCCTGCTGAAGGGATGCAGGAACAAGAGAAAGGCCAGGAACAAGAGCAAGGCTTCTCCAGCTGGACCTTGTGAAGTATGTCACACATTTCCCAAATGGCCACCAAGCAGGTGTGTGTAGCTAGCTGCCTTCCAAAATGGTACCAGTGGTTCTAACCATTCCTGTCTGCATGTTCTTTAGCAAACTAATTTTACAGCTCCCTTCCACTCAGAATAAACTCTACATGTTTGCCTTCACATTTGCTTTGCTATTTGATTACTTAGGATAATAGGGCTGGCCAGATAGTTTAGTGGACTAAAGCACCTGCTTAGGCAGATGCAGCGGTCGGGGTTTGATCCCTGGTGTACCCTGCTGGCCTCACCCCCAGGGTACACTGAGACTGGGTATGGTGGTGTGTGCCTATAATCCCAGCGCTTGTGAGGCTGAAAACAGTAGGATCACTACGAGTCCGATCTGTGTAGTGAGATCCTATAGACCCTGCACCAAATACATTAAAAAAAAAGACAATAGGACACTAGGAAATATGGGGAATACAGACATTGGAAAAACACTTAATCTTATCGCTGGGAACCATGGCGCTACCATGTGCAAAAGCTCAAGCTAGGGCTTTGCAGGATGAAGGTGGAAAAAGAACTTAGTCATTCAATCTCACAGCATGTAACACCCAGTGCAGACCAGACTTTATCAGCCACCCACAGAATCATGAGAAAAAAAAAAAATAAGGGCCTATTACTGTAAGCATCTGGGGATAGTAATTCAGCAGAAGCTAATTTTATGTAAATTTTATACTATCATTATCAATATTAAGATATTCAAAGAGTCAAATCAATTTTTAAAAAATGTAATCTTTACCAGTAGTTTTAAGGCAAATACATAATTTGTCCTCTATGCTGACTTGCACTGTGCCATGGTTTGGAAGTATCTCTCAAGGACCCAGGTATTAAAGGTTTGGTTGCCAATTTGTGGTACTACTGGGGAACATAGAATTTTGAAGAGGTGGGGACAGTTGGAAGAAAGCAGGTCATGGGGGCATTTTTTGAAGGGGGTATTAGGACCTGGCACTTTCCTATCTTTTTTTTTTTTTTTTTTTTTTGCTATCAGAGATTGAACTCTGGACGTTGCAGCTTGGCAGGCAGGTGCTTATTCTGCTGAGCTAGCTCCTGGACCCCTTTCCTATCTTTTTGCTTCCCTGCTTCCAGGGGGTGAACAGACCACGTCCACCAAGAACCCCTGCCACGAGGAGCTATGCTTCCTGCCCCAGCAACAGGGCCAAGTAATGCTAGGCTGGCAACCCTGAAATCAGGAGCCAGACTTGACCTTTCTTCTTTATGGCTGATTATCTTAAGTATTTTTATTATGGTGATGGAAAACTAACACACAGAGAAATACCAGTAAGTCAACACACTATTGTACTCATCGCTGCTACCCTGGACCACACTGCAGCTAGCTGTACAACTACATATTTCAAACTATAATATTTCAAAGCATATTAAATTTAACATAAAAGTTACTTTTCAAGTAGACTGGATGATACTGCAGGAGACGTCTTGTTATTCATGATTTCACCACAGTCGCTTTGGATTTCACAGTTGTACAAACGAAGAACTCGAAGAAGAATCTAGAAATCCTTCTTCTCCTAGGACTGGAGCAGTAAACAAAATAAACTGTCAGAACTTAGAAAATTCAACTTTCAGTCTGATTTGCATAAAAATATTATAGATAGAGCACTTGGCAAATAAATACACGTCAGTATATAGATATTTTATCTTTTTTTGTATTTTGGGCTATGACATTTTAGTCATTGGTAATAACATCTGAAGTGTAAAGAGAACTCCGTAGATAGACAGATGGGTCTATGTCTATAGCATTGTAAATACTGTTATTTATATAAAATCTATATTTTCTGGCAAAAGTGAAGAATACGCCAAAGCTTTGGATAACCATTACAACTTCTAGCACTGGTACGACAAGAAATCACAGAATAATAAAAGACTGAGGAAAATATCTCTTGTGAGGACAAAGCTATTAAGTTTACTGTTA